GGTCTTACCAGTCACACTAAATCAGATTATCAAATTTCCTCAACAGTGGTATCCCCAGATGCAGAATCACTTCAGCTTGCCTTCTCCACTCTCCACTTCAGGCTCCTCTGACAACTAGTAGGGCCCTCACCCCTAGTGCAGCCTCTCCGGTGCATACTTGTGGTCATCTGACCTGGTCTTATTTGACAACCTCAGAGATGCCTAGAAGAAACTGCGATGTCTTTTCCATTTCTCTTAACAGTGTGTTCTGTCCTTTCTTTTTCCAAGGCCAAAGCCCACTCTTTAGGAACATTTTTTGTTCTCTCTTTGTCCAAGCCTACAATGACACCATCTAATTCTCAGAAACAAAACTTCCCAGTTTAAGCCGTTTGGCATCTTTATGTTGTAACTAGAGTCTGTTCTGCAATTTCAGACTCAGTGGAGCAGGGAAACTGGGTCAAGTAGGAGGTGGGGTGGGAGAAGTCAAGAATCAGTAACAGACTAGCACAATGTAGAGAGTAAAAACATTCCAGCAATAGAGAAAGATGAGTCAGGACCGTGACTCAATGGCAGAGGAGCAGGAAAGGTATAATGGAGATATGCCACTGGGTAGGCACTGGGAGTCTGACAAATTAGGACCTCTCTGGCAAGCATGCATTTTAAATTTAGTAAAAGAAAGAGTACAAGTAGTAAAAAAAAAAAAAAAAGAGTAAAATCTACGTAATTCAGGAATTTAGTAATCCATCAATGTACACTAGTGTGAGTCAAAGCAGGTACTACCAACTGGGAGTGGAATAAATGATGTTGAGCTATGTTATACTTCTTCAGGCTACTTATTCTAAGTTTTCTGTAATGTATCTACTCTGGTTAATGTGGAAAAGATAGTAAACTATCTACAGGCTTAGAAAATTTGTTTAGACTACATAAAACTAGATTAATATGATCATTTACTCAGAGGAGATTAAAAATGAGCTTCCCAGGCCCAGTACTTACCTAGATTCTGAATCATTTTTATACCTCACATGTGTGAATTTTTTTCAAGGAAGTTTGTGCCTTTCATTAAGTTTAATGTGTATTAAGTATGTTCCTCTTTTTGAGGAAATGATGTTCATTTCTCCCAGACAGTGGATATTTTTATTTAAAAATATTGAATTTAATCTTTCTAACTAATGATTTAAAACAATTTAAAATTGTTGAATTAAATTAAATCCAGGTGGGCATTTACTGGGTGTTTAAACTACCCAAACCACTTATACCAAAGGACTCTTTGACAATGATATAAGTATATTTTGGCATTTTTCCAAGAGTTGGACCTTCAATTAATCATTTTCCAAAATATC